CATATGGAATATCTTGGAATACTAGACGTGTATGTTTTGGCTAGTTGAATCTACTAAATTTAAATCTATTGTGATTGTAAATTTTGCCTCAAGGTTTGGTAGTGATCAAAGTTATCATCCAGAGAGTTGACGTTTAATCTACTAATATCGATGAGTGTTCCTTGCATGTTGTGTTTCAAATGACCATGTGGAATGTTGTAAATGTTTGTTTGAGTATTAAATGGTTTTCAATGATTGTTAAATGGATTTTCAATGGGCGAGTGTGTATTTTATCGCACTCAACTTAAGTAAATGTGAATTTTCAATAATCAAATGATTGAATGTTACTTGTGCATGAATGTAAGCCTTTGACTAAACTGGGCCCTTGCCCTTCGTTGCTAGTCAAACTGAGCCAGAAGTGGACTCAATCGGGCAGCTGGTGACCCTGGAACAGTGTTTGGTATACTCGAGTATGACCATGAAATCTTGTGGAGAACTGACTAGTGAATGAAATGCCTTAATGAATGAAATGATCACTGAAGGACTTTTATTTTGAAATATGTTTCCATATTTCAGAGGTATAAGGGAGAAATGGTCAGAGACTAAATGACTGAATAAATGAATCGCTCCAAGTGAGCACGTATCCTTCCAATGATTGAATGTTTATTTCTTGAATGACTGTTTATTATTGTGAAAAGTGTGCAAATTGTTAATTGTAAAACTTTCATAATTTATCTACCTGATTGCTTGTTTGGGAAGCTCACTGGATTTTTAGCTCATTCCTTTAGTTTTTTTCCTTACAGGGGTGAAGGCCGGAGCAAGTAAGCATGAACAAGTGTGTATAATCTTCATGTACTTGTACTTTTGAAGATGAAATGTATTTGGGATCTTTGTTCATGAAATCTAATGTTTCACTTTTGGGTTGTAAATTAAGTTGAAATTCTAGGATGAATGGAACTTTTTATGTTAATCTAGAGGCGTGAAAGACTATTTCAAAAATGTTAGTGAATGAGTCCTAATGAGAGATGGGCAGGCGGTCCGCTGAACGCTTTGGCTTGTCTTAGGGAGAGGTGGGATCGTCACAGGTGGTATCAGAGTTCTTATTGAGTTCATGCCTGGAGAGAGTTCTCGGACTGTGGGAATTGACCTGTAAGTGTAGAATGAATCTCTATTAATGAGGAAAATTAGATGTATATGTCGAGTAGGAATCTTAAATGTGGTTGATTTTTTCTTGGAACTGACTAGCTCGAATGGTAAATTATCCTATTTTTGGATTCTTGTACCCGAGTATTAAAGAATTGATACTTTTATGATGAGTCGATATCACGAGTGAAATTGTGGTAAGCTTTAATGGCAAAGGTCAAGACGCGAACAATTCTAGTATTAGACTTGAGATTAAATCGATCGATGGGATTGGATCGAGGAGTGACCTCCTAGACTATTAACTAGTTGGCTTGGGTTTTTGTAGATAGTAGCTAGATTGTTGTATGTGTTTGAGAAACTAGCATTGTAGACCTGTATCCCTTCTCCTATGACTGTGTGGACTTGTTAGGTGTTTATTTTGGAGTGGTTTAATTGCAACTACATATGTCTTTCTGCCCTTCTTGTGATATTAGATACCCATAGTTTGGTTCTTGATGTAAAAGTATAGACTGAGCTTTGAATCCTATCCTTCTAAAATTGAGAGTTTTGAGACTCTTCTTAAGGAAAAGGGTCATAGAGGAAGACACTATGAGGGTAAGTGGCCACAGTATCTTTTGGGCATAGCTTTTGACAATGAGGGTAAAGTGGAGAGTGAGTTAGGGTGTGGCCCTTTTAAATCAAGCAGATTGGAGTAATTTCTATGCAAGAAGGGTAACCATTTCGTACCGTACCAAGAACAGGAATACATGTCATAGTATCTGGAGATCCCTACTTGCGTTAGATTTCTCGTTTAGCTAATTTTAGAAATAAAGATTAGTTGTTCATGGATGGCCTGGAATCGAATGAACTTACGAGATATATGGTTGTGTGATTAGTTACTCATTGGATATTTTAATTTGTTTGGCAAACTGTCATATGAGATTAAGCGAATTGGTGATATGACACATTGGGAAGATATATTTGAGGAAATAAAAATTCTTCAGAAGGAAAGATAGGTCTAGAAGAAAGTGGGTGAACATTGGAAGGACGATGGAACCAAGAGTGATACCGAAAGGAAATGCACAGAGCATAGTGAAGATGAACTTGCTATGAAGAATAGAGGAAGGAAAGAAAGAACAAGAACATTTTGTAGCTGTTAAGAATGGACACTGTGACACACCTCATACTGGAATGTGTGAGTTGAAAACTGGTGCAGATTTTACATGTGGTAAACTTGGACATCAAGTGAGAGACTGCCCAAAATAAATGAATTAAGCCATGGAAAATTTGCTATCCTAGTCAAAGTTAGCCCTTCATGATGTTTTATCTGGAAGAGTTGTATCTGTTGGACTACATGTAGTGAAAGTTTATGTAGTAAGTTAGATTTCAGTTATAAACCTAGAACTTGAAGTCTAATCTTTGCATTAGTAATATTAAATGTCTATGTTCAGTTGGTGTTAAATCCCTATTCATGAGTCAATTGCTGTAATTTAGTTTCGGATTTAAACGAGGATTCTTTATTTGTGATTAGTAAGGAAGGAATTTTGATTACAGAGGGTGACACGTGGCTAGTAATTTAATTGTAAATATAAGTGGAGATGTATATTGTGGATTCTTTGTCAATGTATAGAGTATGATTTCAAGATCTAACAAGAGCAGTTAAGTTTCATAGTTACGGTATCAAGTTCTAAATTTATAGCATCTTGCACCTTTTGACACCCTCATTGACCTTCCTTAATATGTTAGTTTAGCTATTACGTCCGTAAGATTTTTTACTAGGCAAGTTTGTGATAGCACCATGAGTAAGGTGAAGCTACTTGGAAATCAGAGAAAATCCTATAGAATCGAGTTTTTGCCAGTTAAGGTTAGAATTTCGAAAACGAAATTCATTTAAAGTGGAGAGAATGTGAGGCCCGGAAATTTTACTTGTCTTTATAGCTCTTATTTGAACTTACTTGCCTTAAATTCTTGGTTGATTTTATGGTTGTATCATGATTTTTCTCTTATTGTATTATTTAACTTGATGCATGTTTAATATGGTGCATGTTAAGTTTCAGAGTGCATTACACTCATGTGACCGATTTATGAGGTGTGTGCAATAAATTTGGTATATTAGAAGGAATTTTGTGTACAAGGGATTATGTGACAAGAGGTGTTAAGAGTAAAATTAGAGGAGCATCAAATATGTTACTGATTGGAGACAAATAGAGAGATAAAAAGATAGACAATACATCTTTCCTTGCCATTTGTCAACTAGCCTATCAAGTTTGACCAAGACCCTTGACCAACACCAAGTTTTCTTTATATCCAACTTGAGCACTTATTATTTCACTATTTCTTCTTCTTGTTCCTTGGCCTTGGACGAATTTGAAGAGGAGAAAAGAGGGAAAAAACCACACAAAAAAATCCAGCCTTGATTTCTTGCTTGAATCATGAAGAATCCAACAAAAAATCCTAGTCCACTCTGATCAATCTTGAGGTAAACTTGGAGGGAGGCTTTTGGTGAACTTTTGGAAGAAGAAAATCTTGCATCCCTCTGGATTTGCTTGTCATCTTTGGGGTTGGAGGTCAAGAGGTAAACTTTGCTAGAAAACCTAACTTTCTCAATGTTTATATGATGATTTACTAGTTTTATTTGAGGAACTACTAGGTTGTCTTGATATATGATAATTTCCTAAGTTTACTTGATGAACTACTAGATGTTACTACTAGGTTTTTAGTTTACTTGATGTATGTTGCTTTAGGGTGAAAAAGACATGACTTTTATGGAAGATTTAATGGTTTTGCTTACTCGCTTGCAATTTTCAACTTTGAAATATATTGGACAGCTTTGATATGAATATTTTCATGCTTTGGTTTGAAATTCCAGTTTTGAGATGAAAAAATTTCAGTTTTGGTGTAAGTGATTTGGAGCTTGTTATATATGTACAAAGTTGATAGTTTTGTGGCCTTGATTGAGGTTCATTTACTATGAAACTAAGATTAGAATTGGATAATTAACTTGAAAAGATATGGAGATATATTGCTGGATTTTCTCCCTGTTGGTCAAATAAGGGTTAAGGTGTGGATTTAGAGTATTTTATTTTCCTCTTGCATATGATTTTATTCAAAACACTTGTTACAATCTATTTTTTTGCATGTGTCTTATTCTTGAGTTAAAACAAAGAGGTTTAGGAAGGGAAAAACCTAATTTTCCAAACTAATTGCTTGCTGGAAAATTTTCAAATGAAGCCCTGCGGAGTTTTGGAAAATTGGCTATAACTTTGTATAGGAAAGTCAGAATTGAATTCCGTTTGTTGCGTTTGAAACTAGACTTAGGGTACGTTTGGTTCTACAGAATTAGAATTGAATTAGAATTGAAATTCTATAGAATTGGAATTCTATGAATTGGAATTCCAAGTTATTTCAATTCTTTCGTTTGGGAAATCCATAGAATTGATACGGAATTTATTTGAAATTCCAAATTCTTTGTTTGTATGGGAGAAGAATTCATTAGGAATTAGAATTGTTTTCATGAAACATTTGCTTACATAAAATTTTTCTTTTTTTTTCTTTTCTATATAATAATTTCTTTTTTTTCTTACATTTAGCTAATTTTTACTAAAGATTTAAAAGAAAGAACCAATTTGTGCCTTTAATAATTTATTTTTTCCCACTCTCATATCAATTTCTATGGTGAACATTTCCAGACTTAGGTTGTGCTAAGCACAGCATTAACGAGACGTGTCATATTGACTGCCTTCTTTTGTTCAAGTATGATATACAGCACAAATGGTTTGTTAAAGCAGAGGCTCTCTTTTCATTTTCCCCATAAATCTTTGACAAGCAATAGGACGAAACAAAAAATTTGTAAGGTACGTGCCAACAGGCAATGTTGAATAGGCAACCACACAAACGTCTGAAATGAAGCGGGAGGCATTCCAAAGTTAAAGAGGGACCAAGAGAGCAGAACGTAGCTAGTGTTTGAGAATAAAGAGAATGGTTTGTTAAAGCAGAGGCTCATGCATCCATCCACATCCAAATCCCAACCACGCCAATGGGATATATATATATAAGCTGAATCTGAAAACAGCACAAGGATATCCAACTTTTGCACAGTGAAAGACTGCAATTAACTGTAAAATACATAGGAAAAAGTGAAAGCTTTCCTCCATGTCCTTTGTTTAGTAAAGTTGGCGTCTCCTTTCATTCAACCATCTCCACCTGTCGAAGAAACAAAACATCAAAAGGAAGAATGGAAGAAGAACAAAGTAAAAAAATAATAATAAATAAAAAGCAAAAAGCAAAAGAAAGACCAGATTTTTGCATGGATTGAGATGGATGGATAGATGATTGAGTTATTGGGTTTTGATGAGTTAGTTACCAATGAAAATCCCATCTGGGGTGGATCTTGGACATCCTGTTACGGCCATAAGGATAATCTGTTTCAGCTCTTTGGGTGTTTTGGAAAGCACAGCAGCCAATGGAGTAGATGCCTATGAGTAAAACAACCATGACAATGTTAAGTACAGAGAGCTTGTGCCAGTCTCTCCTGACATCTTCAAGCACTCCGGCCTTGCACGAATCGCACTGGTAACAAAGCATGGTCGGGGAGTTGTCCTAAACTTATTCTGGTGACTTAAGGCTTCTACTGGTAAGGATTTTCCAGCACACTGCAACAAAAGAAAGAAACAGAAAAGTCCCGACAAAGCTTTCTTTCTAGAAACAAGACTAACTGGCTACGAGAAACATCAGAATCCTTCTAAAGCCTTCTATGAGTCTTCAAACCAAGAATTTAGTGTACTTCAAACCAAGAAGAATTAAACAAGAACAAGTTTCCGTAAATCATATGAGACATTAATCTTATCTAGATGATGGAGAAATAATATACATTGCAGAATATTGATAATTTACTAGAACACTGCTTGCACAAAATACAGGATATGAAGCACAAAAAAAGGGTGTAATCTGCATTCTCTGTGTTTATGATCTCAGTGTCTTGAAGGAGGATACTTTAGCTTCGGATTCAGCATTTCATCCATCATCAGTCTTAAACATGTGGATATGATTCACGAAGTCAGGTTCTTAGCCAAGGCCACTTCCTGATGTTTAGAGGTCAAATCATTATAATGCAGTGAAATTTTAAACTTGTAGCAGTAATTTTTTGCAGACAAAACGTTTTTGAATGAGATAATTTTTCTGCCTGTAATGTGAATGTAGATCCTAGAAATGATCTCTTGAATATTCAATCTACAAAGAACCATGAACAATGTATTACAAAGCCACAAACAAAAGGGGGAAAAAAACTGGATACTAGTAGTGTTTTTTTTAATGTCAAATTCAAGAAATGTTATGTAAATACAGCATCAGGAGCAAGCTTAAAAGTTCAAATACAGAGGCAAATAACTACTTTAATCATTCATTACTAATTACATCAGAAGTGAATCAACGAAGTGAAATACAACTCAATAAAAGATGCATTGTCCAAATAGAATGAAATTATATAATGCAGTTCACGTGATCAGATTTAGGAATCACACAAATGCAAGGAAAGGTATAATTATTTCTTCAAAATACCAACCAAGAAAAAGAAAAAAAAATAAAAAAAAAATTGCAGCCCCCTGTATGCAGAATGTCTGTAAATAATGCAATCCAGGATCAGAATCATCAGAATCCCAAAACACTCACTTTTTGCAATTGAAAGCAAGAGAAGCCTTCGCAAGCTTCTGTTTCTACCGTGAGAGTAAGCGGTAAGCCACTCACTCAATCCTCATCAACTCATCCTTCAAAAAGCCTCTACTATTCCATTTGTTATTATTATTATTTAATTAATTTCACAAATATTAGGGGAGCAAATGCGATTCATAAGTAGCAGCAGTAAATTTATTTTTTCTTTAAATAAAAAAACAAATATCGATCATAATCCAAATCCCACAACACAATTCAAATCGTCGGATGTCCAGAACCATCATGTGACTCTGTCTGCTCACCAGCCGCCGAAAGCTGACTCTTAAAACATATCCAATCCTCTTACTTCACTCACCCTGTTGCCCCTGAAAATCCCCTAAGATGTCCAATTCCCTATTAATTAACCAAACTCTCTTGAAGAAAAGACATCAAATCACTCTCTTGTACAAAGATTTTGCCAGTCAAAGAAATTCAGAATTCAATATTCAATGCTGCAAAGTTAAAAATCGAAGGCAAAGGAGAGCTTTTAGTTGTTACCTTCCGGACTGAAGAACCCAGTTCGTGAAAATTAAGCACGGGTAAGTAGAGAGCACTCGGAGCAGTCTTGCGATTGGTGAGGGATAGCCGGAGAAGCAAAAAGCGATGCCGGAGACGGTGGTGGAAGAGGCAAAATGTTAGGGTGGAGGTGAAGGCGATGACGCAGAGCAGAAGCAGTTGCGGTTGAGGAAAAGTGATTGAGAGAGAGGGCTGCTTAATTAGTTGACCCGATTTTAATTTTTTACCCACAAGATCCGCGTGTAGACCCGTTTCGCAGGGTTTAATTGTGGAATTGGAATTAGAATTCTTTTGGTCCAGTAAAGAATTCAAATCATGGAATTGGACCCTTATAGAATTCAGATTCAATTCTAATTCTTTGATCGAAGCAGTATCCAAACAACAGATTTGGAATTGGGGCCCCAATTCCAATTCTAAACCTCAATTCCATGGGAAACCAAACATACCCTTATAGATTTTCAACGATATAAAATTCAGGGTTTTGTTCAACTCCAATAAATACCAGCAAATCTACAAAGTTTCTTGAAAACCCTAACTGTTCTGTTTTTGCACATGAGACAGTAGTGTGTTTGAAATGAAATTTGACTAATGTATGAGATGAATTTCATGAAGATGTCTTCTAAAACCTACTCATGCTTCGAGTCTATTTTCTAATGGTGTAAATTTTGTGATTTTTTGACCTACGGAACTCAAGTTATGCTTTTTTAAAAAATGTCACCAAAGTTGAGAATTTTGTCAAATGAATTGAGTGGGACTTGAAAAGCTTTGGGAAAATTTTTCTAGTCTTAAATCTTAATTTGGTGTGATTTTGGATGCTTAAATTGCTCTCCTCACTTTTAGAATACTTGTGTTGGATTTTATCTTAAAGTCTCAAGCCGAAAGTAAGAAGCATATGGAATGCCTTGGAATACTGGACGTATATGTTTTGGCTAGTTAAATCTACTAAGTTTAAGTCTATTGTGATTGTGAATCTTGCCTCAGAGTTTAGTAGCGATCAAGGTTATCATTCAGAGAATTGACGTTTAATCGACTAATATCGGCGAGTGTTTCTTGCATGTTGTGTTTCAAATGACCTTGTGGAATGTTGTGAATGTTTGTTTGAGTGTTAAATGCTTTTCAATGTGTAGACACCAAAATTTTAGTGTAATTTCATTTACTATTTAGTTTTTATTTTGTCGTGTTAGTTTTATTCACTTTTTAGTTTTTAGTTTTTTAGTTTTTATTTTATTTTTATTATTTTAAATTCTTTAGCATAGAATTTCTCGAAAAGAAAAGAAAAAGCATTTAAAAAAATATGCTTTAGTTGTTTTTGATTTAAATTCAATGTTTTCTTGAAAAAAAAAAGAAAAACAAAAAAAAAAAGCAAAAGCCGCACATGCGTGCGGCACCAAAATTTTTCACAGGAGGGCTGGAGGATTCTTGGCTCAATGGGTCGGATGGCTGGGAAAGAGAATATAGCAAACCTTTAATCCTCACCATTGGGGTGAGGGTTTAGGAGCCTTGGGTTTCATATAAAAGAAAAGAAAGCAGCGGCAGAGGGGTCGGGAGGTTTAGCCGAAAGAAATCAGAGGAGCCGAAAACAGAGGGAAAGAAGAGGGGCTAAACGGAGGAAAAATTCTGGAGAAGATGGTGACGGCTGGGGAAAGTTTTTTTTTTGGGAGAGCAAAAGGGAAACAAGAGGGGTCATTGGCGGCTGCATGAGTGAAAAACAGCAGAGGAGGGAAGGAACCTGGGGGGCGGCCGTTTGAGTAAGGAAAAAAAAAAGAGTGAAAGGCGACGACACAGGAGAAACCAGAGCGGGGAGAGGTTGGATGATGGCTGGGTTGAACAAGGGAAAAGAGAGATGGGGAGAGAGCCAAAAAAGCAGAGAGCTCTAGAGGTTTTGGGCAAGCAGAGGAAAACTAAAAAAGAGAGAAAATGGGGAGCTTTGGTAAGAAGAGAGCTACGGAGAAACGAAGGAAAACAGAGGGAGGCGTTCGGCTGAACAAAAGAGAGAAAACCAAGAAAGCTTCGTGGAGGAGGAACCAAGTTTGAAACTTCAGCAGAATTTCTGAGCCTCGTTCCAGCGGTCCCTACGACTTGCTTGAAACACCTCGCCTTCATTTGATCGCCTAGCATCCTCAGGTAACTCTAGCCTTTCCTCTGGTTGGTTTTATACGATTCCCATGAGGATGCAAGCTTAGCAAACAAAGAGTTTTGGGTCATTTGCTGTGTTGCTTGTCGATGTGTGGTTTGGGATGTTCCCCATGTTGCTTTGTGATTAAATTTGATGTTTTGAATTAAGGGGACTTGGATGTTGTTGGGGTTTCATTAGCTTCTTATTTGGTTTCTGCATTTGCACATTTGGTAGAGTTATTGCCGAAAAATGAAAACTTGACAGAAGTTATCTGTTTTGCCTTGCGAATCTGGTGAGAGAGAGGAGGATTGTTGAATCTCTGATCTTTGTAGCGTTATATGATGCCTTTGTTGGGTTAAGATTCCTGTGGGGTTGGCTAATAGATCTGCATGTGGTCGACTGAAGTTGCAGCAAGTCTGCACGATGCTTGCTGTATGTTATGCCCGTTGTTTGCTATGCTGTTTCCTTTCTCCTTTCTCCTGTTTGTTTATTTGCTCAAGCGGCTGTTCTCTTGTGATTCAATGGAGTCTGGTTGGTTGCTCTAAAGTTTGTTTGAGGTTGGTTTGGCCTGAGTCAGTTGTTTGAGGTCTGTTTTGTTGTGGGTTATGTCCGCTACCATTTAAAAGCAAGAAATGAAAGACATAACAGTTGGCCGCAACAATGACTCTGCTTGTAGCTTTAGTTACTCCTGATCTGCTTGGAATTTTGGTTGGCCGAAAGTTCTTATTGCATGACTTGTGTGGAGTTAGGTGGTAGACTTGCATTTTCCATTTGAGTGCATGAATCACGGCTGTCTTCCTGCATGTTGCAAGCTCTGAAAAATTGCAGAAAATCTCAGGAAGTTGCCGAAATACTGTACTGCAGAAAGTTTACTTTTTCCATAGTTTGCATGGAGTTTGGCTTAGAAATCTTTCCCATTCTGTTTTTGTATGCATGCTAAGCCTAATAAGAACTTGGGATTGGGGTGGTTTGAGATGATTGAATGCATCTACCATGTAAAGGGCTGAAGCAAAGGTATTTGCTAGCTGAAGTTTAAAAACCATTTGCCCGAAAGTTCTCTTGTTGCTGGAATGTTTCTCAGTTGTCACATGAAATTTGCATGCAAACCTTCTTCATTCTGGTTATTGCATGCATGATAGGTTTGGTAGGAGTTTGAGGTTGGTTTTGGGTTTGAGATGGTTGTGTGAATCTACCATGCGAAGTGTTGAAGTCCAAAAGCATTGCTTGCTGAAGCTTAAAACTCTTTCTGCATGAAATTTT